ACACTTATACCCAAGAGTAGAAGGAAGCAGGGATGAGCCTTAGGATATAACAAGGAAAGCTAATGTTGTGGAAAACAGCCAGAGAAGCGAGTGGCAACCATCTTTCTAATAAGGTTGTCCCTTGCCCTGAACTCAGGATCCAACCCCCGGCCTGGCTTCATAGTTGCCTCTGTTCTCTTCATCCGTCTAGTCCTTCCTTCCCGACAGTTCTGCCCAGTTTTCAGAACACCTCTTTACTATCAAATAACTATGCCACTCGATCCCACTGCCTCTTAGCACACTGACTGAGTTTATATGCAAGCCTCCCTGACATTTAGTCAGTGCCTCCCATTTTTGAACACCGGGTCTCTTCCAATCGCATCCTTCTTCATTTTTATGCTAGTCTCTTTGAAGGGCGCATTTCCACCTGCAGCCTCCAGTTTATTCCACCTTCCCAGCTGTTCAACGTCAGCAGTCTGCTCTCTCCTCTCAAGTCCCTCTGCCAGTCAGACAACCATCACACAACCCAAACGCTCAAATTCTCAAAGGTCAAACCAAGCCCACTGCCATCACTAGATTCCGACTTAGAGCCAACTGCACATGAATTCTGAGATGATAGGTCTTGACGGGAGCAAGCAGCCTCCTCTTTCTCCTACAGAGCAGCTGGTGGGTTTGAACCACCAACATTGCGGTCAGCCGCCCCACACCACCCACAGCTCCAGCAGGCCTCCTTTATCTAAGTACCAAACAAACCCCACCACCCATCAAGTAGCTTCTACCTTATATAGGACAAAGTGGAACAGCTCCCTAGGGTTTCTAAGGCTGTAACTCTTTATGGGAGCAGACAGATAGACAGCCTCTTCTTTCTCCTGAGCAGCTGGTGCCTGTGACCCACCAGCCTTGAAGTTAGCAGCACCACCCCTAACTCACAGCACCACCCTCACATTCAGATTCCAGAACTTGAACTGGTCGTTCAGTGGGGGGGTCTTCTCTATCCCACTGAAAATTTTCCCCATTTGGCTGGGTTTTTTTCCCCCTCTGTCCTCACCCAGAAACAAGCTCTTTCTGAGGTCTAGTCTGTGTTTCTGAGGTCCAATCTGTGCTCCTACGTTCCCACTTTTCCTCCCTCTCACATCCCCTTCCCTCTAGAAACTCCCTCTCAAGCTCCAGCTCTCATGGGTATGAGCATCAGCTCCCTTCAATGGCTGGCTCTCAGCCGACGCTCAGTAACATGGCTCACAAAGTTAGCGGACTCTTCCCCCCAACCCATTTTGTCCTTTGCTTCCTCCTTGGCCCCTTGTTACCAAAAGATGCATATTTAAAACTTTAGAGCCCTCCTCTTCCTTCTCTTGGCCCTTCCCTTTTCCTCCCTGTGCTGGGCCTCACCCGCCCCTGCCCTCCACCCTATTCCCTCCTCCCTGTTCCCAGTCACCACCCCCCTTGGTATTCTCATTGCTCGGGACACGAGCGGTGGGATTCCAGGTAATGCCCAGGCTCTAATGCCTCATTTCTCAACCCGTCCCGTTTCAGAGAGCTGTTTGCTGACTTCTCCGTCATTTCCTGTCCGTCCTCCCAGACCCCCTCAAGCTTACCACCTTCCAGAAGTTTCTGTGACACCTGAAACCATTGTGAGCACCCTTTCCCCTGAACTGCTCTACCATTCATGGTCTACACCCGAAATCGCAAACAGCCCTATCTCATTTCATTCTTTTTCGAAGCGTGTCGCCATCATTTAAAAACTTGACCATTTTACACAACAGCCCTGATTCCCGACTTGTGGAATTCTGAGAATCTGGTGATTCTGGGTGTCTTTTCTCACACATTGGTTTGGTGTCCATGAGCAGCCAGTGCACTGGCCCCTGCTACCAAGGTGGACATTCGTGCTGGAGACTCTTTGTCTGTACCATGTATCGGCCATGACTTAGCAAGCACACCCTATCTTGTTAATCACTGTTTTATGTGTACATGTGTGTCCTGTATTGTTTCTACTCGTGGTTAGAGCCCTCTCATCCTAAAAGTGTGTGTGTGTGTGTGTTGCAGAGAGAGAGGGGTGTCTCTGAACTTGGTGTGCTCACTGCAGTGGGAGGGCTGTTTGAGGGGCTGAGCACCGGTGGTGACGTTTGCCTTAAGCATTTGCCTTCTGGTCAGTGCTCCTTACATCGCCTGCCCTCTGCCAGTGTTACACCGAGGTGGGTAGCCGTATTTCACCAATACTTAGTAACTAGTATTTCTAGAAAGTTCCAATGGGGGGTGGTGGTGGTTTGGAGTGTGCCTACCATGGAGTGGTGTCAGGTGGCATTTGGAGTGCTCCCCTGGGTCATTCTGAAGTGTAGAAGGGTCATGTGACCATCTTCTGCCTGTGCTGAGAATCACTGCTTTAGGGGAAAGGAACAGAGTACTCAAGGTAAGGTCTGGCTTCTGGCAGGAAGATCACAGAAATTCCCCCTGCTGAGATGAGCCTGGTGCTCAGTGTTTTTTCTACCAGAAATCCCACCAGACAGGACAGTCGCTGGGTCATAGTGGATGCCGGCTCTGGACAGCTCCTGAGAATGGCCATGCGGCCTGCTCTCTGTTTCTGTCCATTCCTTCTCTCTTGCCTCGCCCCTGTTCTCTCCATCCATTTGACACTTTTCACAGTCTTGGGTCTCGGCGTTTGCCAGATGCTGCTCTTCCCCCCCACCCCCCTTCCTCTGTGTGCCGCCCATGCCATGGGCCTGTCCACTGCCCGTTTCACGGAGAGGAGCGTGTGGGACGGCACACGGCGGTAAGCCTCGCCTTCTTTGAATCCAGAGTTCTACTTCCAGGTGGTCAAAGGGAAGGGTGTGAACGCTTCCTGAAGGAATGCAGTGTTCCCCCACACTGGGGTCTTTTCACCCACTGATTTTGTTTATTTTTCCAAACTTGTTTGCTTTTATGCACAGCTCCATGTCCCTACTGACAAGCTAATCAATCTCAATCATACACTTCTTTTTCGGATTTAATACTTTGATTTCGTAAGCTGTTTTGGTTTTTCTGCTTTCCCGCTTGTCTGAGGGGCCTTCAAAGAGCTCGAGGGGGAGATCCTGTTATCTTTTGATTCCATTTTCCCATGGCCTCCTTGAAGCCCCTCCTCTATGTGCTAAGCTGCCTCTAGTCTTTGGTGGGCTGCAGCAGGGTCCGTGGCCGGAACGTAGCCTAGAACATTGCTTTCCTGCAGCCTGCACAACCTCCGGATGCTGCTTTGGGGTGGCTGACGAGCCTTTTTTACCGCTGAGGATTTGGGGTCCCCTTTGGGGGCGTGGCCTCAGAAATCCCGCATGCCACGGCCAGGTGACATCTGATAGGTGTTCACACTGACAGTCTCCAGGCTTGTACGCCAAATGCTTGGCTTGGAGTTGGAATTTGAAGAGATTCTCCCGCCCGCCCCCCCTAGTTGTAAGAATGTGTTTCTTGTCCTCTGAGTAGAAAGCCAATGCTGCTTGGCATGGCTCCACTGAACTTCTTTTGGCTCAAAACCTCTTTCAGATGAACCCCCAGGGTTAGCTGCCCACCTGACGCCTCAGGTGCATGTCACTGTGGGTGCGGCACGGCCATCGGAACGCCCACCGAGCAGCTCTTACCGGGTGCCACATGGGCAGCGTCAGGGTTTGGGCTCCACAAGTAACCTCTCTGGCCATTTCTGCTCCTGCAAATGTCCAGTGACAACAAAGAACAGTTATTTTCTTCCTGTCCCAAAGCCCCGCCCCCTAGTCTGCTAACAAATCCCCGTTGGTAGCTTAGAAGAAAGTAAGCTTGCAAGTCTGTGCGATTGCCAGGTGTCTTACTAAATGGTTTGCTGCTGTAGATAAGTGGGCAGAGAAGCCAGCCTTTGGGACTCCGTTGGAAGAGCACCTGAAGCGGAGTGGGCATGAGATTGCAGTCCCCATCGAAGCCTGTGTCATGCTGCTGCTGGAGACAGGCATGAAGGAGGAGGTGAGAGGTGCCGGGTGCTAGGTCTCCAGGCCCGTCCGTCCTCTGCTCAGAGCACCCTTTCCCCACCCTCCACTTCCATCCCCCAGCCACTCTCTGTTCTGTGCAGACTTGCGTGTGCAAACTCTTGTCATCGTGAGACTCACTGCAAGGAGACGTACTGACTTGAGACCCTGGACACTTATTGAACTGTCTGTAAATGACACAGAGGTTTCACATTATCAGGCTTAGTTTCCCTCCTTGCCGTGAACCCCCCCCCCCCCCCACCAGGCCTCCTTATTTGAGCCTTTTACCTGAAATGCTGGTGGTGATTCATGAAAGTGAACTTCTGAGACCAGAGTTTCCATGAGCCTCAGTTAATAGCAGGCAGGCATCTAAAGCAAGAATCTGGTACGTGTGTGAAGCCTGATGTAACTTTGGGGAGACAGTTTCATACTTCCGTGTGAGCCTTACAGGGAGATAGCCCTAAGCCCCGCAGGGAAGTCTCCTTGCTCCTCTCGTACAGAC